AGGATAGCCCTGCCAGAGCACACAGCCATGAGTCCAGGATAGCCCCTGCCATAGCACACAGCCATGAGTCGAGGATAGCCCCTGCCAGAGCACACAGCCATGGATTCACTCCACTCATTCGGGAAGTCTCACCAGTCTCCTGCATGGCCTCGGCTAAGGGCGTATAGAAACTTATCAACAACAGAAATACATGAAGGAGAAAAACCATTCACAGCGGTGTGTGGGGCGAAGCAGAGTGCGGCCAGGCACTTGTTATAAGTTGTTTCCAGGGAAGGGCTCTTTGGGAAGAAGACAATCTTTCTACCAAGGGCCAAGGAGAGGCAGGAGTCAGGCCATGATTAATCCTGGAAGTGAGAGCTGCAGGCGCGGACTGGCTGGGGCCTCGGCCCGAGCAGGGAGACAGACGTCTGAGGTGTTCAGCACCAGCAGCCAGGTAGTGAGGGGGGCAGGAAGGGGTGTGAGATGAGGCGGGCAGGCCCGTCACACTGCCAAGCGAGCGCTGTCAACCTCGGGAAGAGGAGGGCCAGAGAGACTGCTGGAGGCTTTAAGTAGGACAATGATCCCATTTAATTGGGTTTTTTAAAAATATTCCCTCGCGTAGCTAAGAAGCGAGGCAGCAGAGAGCAGATGGTAGACAGAGGGGTTGGGGGCTGGAGGGGGTTGCCAGAGGGGGGAAGTGGGGGAAAGCAGAAGGAAGTGCATGCGGGGTTTAAGCACTGGTGGCCAGGAAGGGGGTGTGGGGAAGCTACTGTTGAGTTTGTGTCGAGGGGACACCTAGACACCTGGGAGAGATGTCCCCAAGAAACTGGCCAGACAGACCTTGCATCTGGCAAACACCCAGGCCTGGCTGGGTCCTAGGGAGGCTGTGGGCTGTCATGTGGTCACAGACACAGGACGGAGCAGGGAAGTCCCAGGCTCACCAAGGCTTTGAACTCGGCCCGAGGGGGTCCCAAGGCAAGGTCTCAGATGTCTAACCCCAGCTGAAGCAAAGAAGGAAAACAGTTTGCATCCTAGAAGCGCCCTGAGGCCTGTGGCTCTCAGCTGCAGCATCAGCAGCTGGGGCTCAAGGGTAGGCAGATAACTCAGAGAGAAAGACCTGGGGGAGGTGGGGGCTGGGAGCAGACAAGTGCTTAGCACGCAAGCCTGAGGACCCGAGTTCAGATCCCCGGCACCCATTTAAAAGCTGGGCACATGGCACAGCTCGTTTATAACCCCAGTTCCGGAGAGGGAGAGACAAGGGGATCCCCGGGGTTCAAAAAACAAGGTGCAGAGCAACTAAGTAAGACACTCAGGGTCAACATCTGGCCTGTGCACATACACATGTTCACACACGCACATGAACACATATGTACCACACACACACACACACACACACACACACACACACACACACACACACAGGACTGGGAAGGGTGTGTTAGGGTGCCAGGACATGGTTTAGGAACCCTCCAAGGTTTGGGAGAGAGGAAGGCTAGAGATGTTGCTCCTCCAAGTGGTATTTCCCCACCCAACATGCCCACTGTAGTCAGGGTATGTTCTTGCCACTCACCCAATGGGCATGTGGCCTCCAGAGCTGGATTCTGTCCTGTGTGGATCTCCTCCCAGCTCCAGGCTGCACTCAGGCTCCTCTGAGGTGAGGGAGAGGGTGACGGCTGTAGAATTAACAATGGCAACATCTGCTGACTGGAGAGAGTCCCGGAGTATTCCTGTACCAGCACAGGACACCCCCCCCCCCCCCCCCCCCACCCCCACTACACTGACCATCCCCACAGGTCCCAGTGGAGAAAGGCCCATTCCCCAGTCTTCGGGACAGGAGACTCGGGGGAGAGGCAGTCAGTGAAGGTGGCCAGGGCCCATTCTTGAGCACCTTCTAAACCGGAAATGGTTTGAGGACAAGAGTGGGGGTCTTAAGGACTACTGTGACCCTATCACCCAGCAGAGCATGGTAGACAGTGGGTGACTAATGAGCATTTGTTAAGTGACGGGCCATCTGTGCTATGCCCCGCCCCTTCCATGTCAAGGGACAGAGTCAAAGCAGGGGAAACAAATCGAGAATGGTCACAGCTCTTTCAGCAGCTTCCATCTTGGGAGCACTGTGGGCACTCAGTGATGCTGGCCCCTTCACAGGCGTGACGGTGGTCATGACCCAGGCTGTATTTTAACCCTCACTCTCTGGATAAGAAAAACCTGAGCAGGGAGAGAGGAAGCCGTCGCTCAGGGGTCCTGTCACTAATAAGGGAATCCTCACCATGCTTTCAAGGAAGTGCAGACCCAGGCTTCCCGGAAACATCACTAGGTCTCAGAAGCCCTGCAGGAAGTGGCTAGGTGCAAGCCCGCCACAGACCCACGTGGCCACAGTCAGCTTTAAAGGCAGAGATCCTGCTTACGTCATTTTCTTATGCATTCCCCACAGTGTCCAGGACAGGTTCAAGCGTGTACCAGGTAGGTGTCTGGTCAACAGTGAACGGAAGAGTGCAAGGCACAAAAGAAAGGTGGCGGAAGAGGCAGGGTGATTACGGAATAGTTAGTGTTCTAAGCAATAGTGGATTCCGGGGTTGCTGACTTGTTCTTCATACTCTACAGTAGTCAAACTCCCACAAACCCTGGTCTCCAGCAGCTCTGGACTGGAGTTCCCTTACACACCTCAGACTTCTCAGCAATAAGAGGGCACCATCCCCACCTTGCCCACGGTCCGAGCCCTGCTTCCCCATCCTCCAAGCACAGAAACCTGGCTAACTTGCTCCATGCTTATACTGAATCCTGCGCCTGGCCCACACTCCCTCCCCACTTCCTGGACACCTGCTGCCGATCCCAGGGATCCACAGGGATGCTGGGAGTGGTGTGTGGCCTTATCATACAGGGACTACGATAGAGAGCTAATGAGCGCCACAGACCTGGCCTGGGCTGAACATGAAGGACGGCAATCCTTACCATCTCCGTCACTCTCCAGGGGCAGTCCGGGCTCCTGGCAGCTGTGGTCCTTGCCAGCTCTATGCTTGCGGACAGCGGCTCCCTGAGGCCCCTGCAGCCCCGGAGGGACACTGCTGTTGGAGTTGCTGGTGGACAGGTCCAGCAGTGGATGCTTGGCACGGGGGCTGTAGGGCTGGGTCTGGGGTGGGGTGAGAACGGAAGTTCTTGGAGGAGACAGAGGCAGGGGGATATCTATATGCTCCACCTGATGTTCCAGCCTGTGATGTCCAGTCCAGGCTGACTTCCTCGGGGCTATCGGGCAGAGGGATTTCCTTGAAGAGGGAGGGGTCGGCACCCAGCTTTCAAGGGAGAGGGGCAAAGTTGGTCGCAGGGCTGGGTGAGGTACAGAGGGCTCTTCATGGCTCTGCTGGCGGGAAGAACTGCACACAGTTTCCAGAGACTCATGGCTTTCAGTAACTTGCTCTGGTTGGTCTGAGCCTGAGGAAAAGGACACAGCATAAGCTGTCTTGCATGGAGTCCAGGAGTCCTCAGGGTGGGCCCAGTGATTTCCTAACCGTGGTCCAAGCTGCCCCTGGGACCAAGGCCTCTTAGGTTCCAAGGCAGGTTCAGGTGCAGCATCCTCCTTTACAAACAAAGTCCCCTGGGGTTTGTGTCCTGTGGCTCCTGTTGCCTCCCCTCCTACAGCCACATGGCCAACCTCCCGTAGGTGAGGCCAGGCCTGAAGGCCCCAAGGAAGCTCCACCTCAGCCTTTCTGGACCACCTGGGGCCATCCTGAGGTCTAGAGCCCCGCTGCCTCTGTCCGGGGCTGCTGCCTTGGGTCTGACCGCCTGCCCTGCTGGGCCGAGAGGTCCTGGCATCGGTACTGTCTGTCCAGCTGTCTGAACTGTTGGTGCTGGCCAGAGCAGAGTCCCCCTCCTCAGGGTGTGTGGCAACAGTGTCCGTGATGTGTGTTTCCCGGATCCATTCTGTGTGGAGCCCTGGGAATGGGGAGCTCACACCGTGGGAATTACAGGGCCCCGGCAGCAATGCCTGTGCCTCAGAGGCTGCCTGGAGACCCCGAAGGACCCTCAGGTCAGGGGCTGCTCTCCCCTCCGCAGGGCAACGCTCCTCAAGACAGCTGCCACAGGCTGGACACTTCCTCTCACTGTCCCACGTAGACAGTGGTGCAGAGAAGTTACTGTGGTCCAGGGAGCCCACTGGCCCGTGGAATGAGATGTCCCCCATGTTACGGTGAATGTAGCTGGTTAGGTCAGGCTTGGAGCGCAGGGGTCCTTGGCCCACGGCGTGAAGCACTGTGCGTAACACCTGACGCTGGCGCTGCTGGAGCCGTTCCAGGTACCGGAACTCAGCCTCGCGGGAGGACTCATCTTCGAAACGGACATGAGACAGGGGCATTCCCTGCTTGGGCCACTGCCCATTGCCAGACTCTACACTGGAGGAGTCACTCAGGTTCCCATTCTGGAGGCTCTCTCTGTCGGCAGAGGTGCTCCTGACATCCAGAGCTGGGCTTCTTTGGCCATTTCTAGTGAGGAGACAGCAGAGGGGTCACATGCAAGAAGGTGGTGAGGAAGAGAAGCATTGCTCTGGCCTAGGCTTCACCCACAAGGTTACCCCCAGTCAGGCTCCTGGGAAGTCATACAGCAAACCCCAAGCCCATACTGCACATCCCTCGGGATGGACACATCCCAAGCCCATCCTAGTACACACTGCTCAACAAAACCGACACAACTCTCTTTACTTTTAACTTGCTTTCTGGTGCTGGTCTCAGTATGAGTTATCAAGGAAAGCTACTAAACTAGAGATGGTACAGAGGAAGATGGCAGAGCTTATATGTGCACTCTGTGGGTGTGCACACGTGTGTGTGTGTGTGTGTGTGTGTGTGTGTGTGTGTGTGTGTGTGTGTGTTTAGGGTGAGGAAGTAGCCTGACTTGGCAGTGATGAGTTGCAGAAACATGTACAGTCAGTCCTGTGTGAGTGGGCTCCACATCCGGGGAGTCTAATCGCATAATAAAAATATTTGAAAATAAAACCCCATATCTGCATTGAACATGTAGGGACTTCATTCTCCTTGTCATCCCCTAAACGTGACAATATGGCCACCATTGTACAGCACTGCCATCTCATTAAAGGTTGTAGGTGATCTAGGGATGGTTTAATGTGTACAAGAGGATATTTACCATTCATGGGCTCTGGTATCCTGGGGGGATCCTAGAACCAGCCCCCTGTGAACACTGACGAAGAGTTTTAAGCGTCACAATGCCTTCCTGGGAAAAGTCTCCATGGGTATTCTGTGAGGCTGGAAGTCTGGGGCTCGAGCATTCTTGACCTGACATTCCCACTCAGGATTCCCCAGGCCTTTCGAGGACAGACTGCAGCAGATCAGCAGCTCCTGGTGCCATGCTTAGAGAGCCCCAAAACCGCTGTGCCCGTCACACCTCGCACACCCCCATTTCAGATGTGCATCGCTATGTTAGAGAATCTTTGTATCTTTTATTAGCTTTGGCTCTGGAAAACACTGGCTGGTGGCCAAATCCTGCTCAGATCCACACAAGCCTCATCTCAGGACTCCAGGAGCCAGCTAACAGAGTCATGCAAATGGGCCCAGGTCCAAGGCCCATACTTCTTCCTTTCCCCTCTGGAGACTTCCCCCACTGATTTACGGGCTGTCTTTGGGGCTGACCGAGTTTCTTCCACTCATCGCTTTATTTCTCAGAGCAGTGGCCTCTCAGCCGGTTTCCTTCCCCCTCCCATGACTTGGTTTCTCACAGGGCACAGCTGGCTCACATCACATTACCCAGCAAAGGGCACAGGGACAGCCTCTGGGGTAAGCATACAGGGCATCCATCTCTTCCCTCCTCCCTCCAGCTCTGACTCCCACCATTGAACAGTGTAACTCCAAAGGCCATACAATCACACGCCTAACTTCTGCCGGGATATTTAACTATGGACCTTTCTCGATGTCACACTCAAATCTGTCTCTTTGTGCCCACCTTTGTTTAATAAGCTCCAATTTGCTTCACAAAGACTTATCCTAAAATTCTGTTCTACAGACTAAGTCAAGGGCTTGGCTGTACCAGAGTGGAGAGCTCTGAGAAGTCCTCAGATTGCAGAGGGTAGAATCTCCCATGGCTGGTAACATGATAGTTAATCTAATGTCAACATGGTAGGCCCCAGGACCTAAATACTTGGTCAAATGTTATTCTGGATGTTACGGCACAGGGGCTTTTTTTTTTTTTTTTTAAGACAAAATTAACAATTAAATTGACAGATTTTGAACAAAGTAGATTACCTCCCAGTATGTGGTGGGCTTCATCCTATCAGTTAAAGGCCTGAGGAAAGCCAAGGTTGACCTCCCTGGAGCAAGAAGGGATTCTGTCTGCAGGCTGTCTTTGGAGCTGAACTGGCTGCCCTGTCCTGCAGGTTCAGCATTTACCAGGCTTCTCCCAGTTTGCGAGGCAACTCCGTGAAGTAACCCCTCCATATACAGACACATCTATTGGCTGTGCTTCTCTGGAGAACTTCGAATAAATAAGCACCCTTTGAGGATGTGTCCCTGCCCTGAACACCTGGGCCACCCACTTCCTGTCACAGAGGGTTAGGGTTCGAGGGAGCCACTGAGCAACCGCAAATAAGTTCTACCTCATAGGCAGAAGTTCTAACCCCAGCACAGAGGTGGCACAGGTGGACAACGAGGTCTATACTACACAAGCATGGCTCGCTGGAGATTCTGGACCTGGCTTAGAACCTCTTCTACCTCCTGGGCTCAGTGCCCTGCTCTGCTGGAGGGAAGAAGGCTAAGTCCTGGGAAGGAAAAAAAAAAAAATGAATGTTTTCAGGGCAGTACAGTAATAGTCTGTGTTCCATGAGCTACAGCAGTGGCCTTAAGTTTACACACAGATGGTGAACTGAGCCATCTTAGAATTCACTCCAAAGAGAGAAATACTATTTTTATCTTACAAGAAAAAAAACAAAAGCCGGGTGATACATATCCCCAATCCTAGCACTCAAGAGGCTGAGGCAGGAGGATTCTGAGTTCGAGAAGTCTAGAGCACAGAGTGAGATTCCCATCTCAAAAACAAGGACTTGATGGATATGGTGGTGTACACCTTTAATTCTAGCACTTGGCAGGTGAGGCAGCGACAGATGTGCGTCTGTGGATTCAAGACCATCTTAGTCTACAAAGTGAGTTCTAGATCAGCTAGGACCACACAGTGAGACCCTGTCTCACAAACAAAAGAAAACAAAACAAAATCCCACAAGACCAAATTCATCAGCATAAAAAGCAGAATAAAGTAAGGAATGCTAATCATGTAAGAGTCTTCAGGGCAATTGTCCAGACCACCAGGCCCCAGGCAGGAACACAGACAGAAGCCCAGGCAAACAAGGGGGGCCTGGGCAGACATGCACATGAGGCGGCTAAAGCCAGAAGCAAATCCCAGAGCTGCTTTACCTTTCAAGGTGAGGCCCCTCAAGGGCAGGATTCCAGCCAAGCTCAGAGTCCCCGAGGTGGCACGGCCTTTGGGGAGGAGGGTCCCTTTCCACAGCCTCACCTTCTATGACAATGCTGTCCTGGGCACACAATCAACGAGATGTTTGCCAGCTCTACAGCCTCACACAGCCTCTGGTCCCACGGGACACACCCTCCCAGGGCGCAGCCTGCTGACATGTCCCATGCTCTTGCGACTAAGAGTACCAACCTGAGTCTGCCTATTCCCCAAGTGGCAAAAGCCAGGAGCTGCTCGATTTCTATGTGGATTGACTTCCAGACAACACATCTGTCTCCATCTCTTTCCTCCTGCATCCAGACTCACCTGGCCGCCTCCGGGTAGACCTAGGCTAAAGAGGGCCCTCTTACAGATGGCTCTGCCTGCCCCTGCTCCTCCCTTATCTTTTGCCAAGCTGTTTTTCAGAAGGAGTGATCAGGTGGGGCTGGGGCGGGACCTCCGGCTTCTGGCTGAGGCCTGGGGCCTGCGTGGCATCACCATGTTAGCTCTGCCTGCCCTCCAGGGTGATCTGATGGAGCGTAACCTTTCGCAGCAGCTGCAGCAAGCCATCTGGTGTGGATTTTTCAGCTCTCCCCTCGGAGGCTTCACGAGCGCTGCCAAGTCATAGTAATTCTTTTCTGGACACAGCAGCTGCTGAAGTAGGTCACCTTGCATTTTCACAGCCTTTTTATGACCAAGAAAGAGGAAACCTACTTTCCAATAGCTGCTGGATGCTAAGGCGAGGTGCAATGAACTAGAGAAGCAGGTGCCCGGGAGTACAAAGCACACCGAGGTCTGTTTGGCAGAGTCGTGTCTATGTGCGCCTCAGCACCCCGGGGTAATTCCTACAGATCACTGCGCAGGGGTGCCTTGGCTGGCTGAGGCATCTCTCTGCATATTCGGAGAACAACTAGGGTACCTCAAAGAAGCCATGTCATCGCAGTGAGTACTCTGTAGTTAGGGGGAACCCAGGCATACACGTGGAATGAAAGAGTAGCCTGAGGGCACATTTTATTCCTGGGATTCGGGGGTCTCTTGTGACTCCCTCCTAAGGGTCACAAGGACATGGAACAAAGAGGCCTCTGGCCATGGAGTCGTGGCAGTGGTTCTGTAAATGTCCGGAGCCCTGAGTGAGCAGGCACAGCATCCCCCATCAAAGAGCACACTGTTCAGCTTCACTAAGAGTCCTCATTACCCCTAGTACCACACGGTGAGGCGGAAGACAAGCAAATCCAATGCGCCCACCATACCTGTGAAGCCACAGGCCTTGTCATTTACAGAGGTGGGCCTGTTTGGGCCTGGCAAGATCTGGCATGGCCTGGCAGTTCAGAGCATGACTAGGTGCTCCATCTGTGTGTTGGAGAATTCCATGTGTAAGTCGCTCTTTAAGGTGTCCCATAAAAGAACAAGCATGATGCTGGGGATAGACCTGTGGTTTGGGCAGTCACATGGGATGCTAGTCCAAGAGTTCCTGACTCCTTTTTCCCCCCGTCTCCTCACCCTGGATGGGCTCATTCTTGCAGCTCCAGCATGATGAAGTCACCAGAGTACTGGCATCTCCGGTTCTGGCCTCACCTCTCACGATCCTGTATCTGGAGATGTTCAGTGGGTATCTCCAGTGGTCACGATCCTGTATCCAGCTGTTCAGTGGGTATCTCCAGTGGCTGCTCTAGGAGTCTCCCCTCTAAAGCCTGACCCTGAACCTAGGCATCACCCTTTGCCTAGGGGACCATGAGCGTGCTACTATAACCCTAACCCCGTTGAACCTACCTGTTCACCCATCTCTGTGGTCCCACACTAGCACAGGGGCCGATGAGCTATTGTTCAGCAGGCCTGGAGTTCCTCCACGGCTGACCTAGCCTCCCATGCTATACTCGAGAGATTTCTCTCTTCCAGGCTGGCTATACTCTGAGAGCACAGTGCTTCTTCTCACAGCTCCCATCCCTTAGAACAGTGCTCCTTCCTCCCTGCATCTGCCCAGTGAACATTCACAGCTCCTGCAAGCCCCATCCGGGAAGCCGCATCCTTTTGAGAGCTCACCTGTCCCTTCCAGGTGGAGGAGCAATGTGCTGCCAGCCCTGCACACATGCTTTCTCCTCCACGATAACCCCCAGAGCTGACGAGCGGTTTGGCCGTCTCTCTCCCTGGAGACTGTGAGCTCTATGCCCCCAGAGAGCTCAGGTCACATATTTCATTTATCTTTATATCTCAGCTTATGACACCCTGGGTAATGGTGTGTTGACTGACTAAATGATCACAGCAAGTGCCTGACACAGAAAACATATGCGCACACATACTGATATGGGAAGAAGGAGAGGAATAGAGAGGGAGGGAGGGAGGGGGGAGGGAGGAAGGGGGGGAGAGAGGGGAGAGAGAGAAAGAGAGAGAGAGAGAAACAGCATTTGGGCTATATCTGAACTATTTGAGCTATTGACCCTTCTCTGTCCAAGCCCCCTCCCAGGCCAGCCTGGCTCAGGCCCCACTCACCGGCTGCCCTGAGCAACGGTGGGCACAATGTCATGGCTGGCTCGGAGCGGTTGGGTCCTGGCCTTCATGCGAGCAGGCTGTGTCGGATGCTTGGTTCCCTCACACCTGGCGCTCCGCGCAGGCTCCAGCTTGGGGAGAAAGGTCCTGTAGGGTAGCCCAGGCCAGGACGGACAGCGCGGGGATTAAAAGAAAAGGACACGGCTTAGGAGGCTTTAGCGGCATCAAGCCCAGCCCTGCCAGCAAAAGCCTTGTGTACACGGCCTTCCTTCTCCTTCTACCTCACACGCAGGGCTCCCTCCCCCCCACTCTCCCCTCTCTACCCCTGAGGCCTGGGAAACACCCTGAGCTCAGACAGGAGCTGGGGAGCCAGCCTGACCTTGGACATCTGCTTGTGGAGTTGGGGGGGGGGGCGGTCTGGAAAGGGCGCAGGGGAGTCTGGCTGTCTTATTGTCCCTCCCCGGGCAGAAGCAGGAGACTTGGGGAAGAGGAAAAGGGAAGGTCCCCGGGTTATGGATCTGGGCCTGTGCCCAGACAGATGGTCTTTCCATGCATGGCCTCCCTGTCTCCTTCTGTCTCTCAGCGCCCACACACGCACCCACTGGAACCCACACAGAACTGTCCCCTTCTCCCACCACAGACACCGGGCCAAGGCACTGCCTGTCGCAGCCTTGGTCCCTTGGGGGATAGTGTTTCATAAATCCCGGTGTCTCCTTGTCATAGTCTCAATCCAGACCTGTCAGGAGTCAGCTCAGGGCTCACAGACTCAGGGCAGAGAGAAACGAAGCTGGATTCAGAGCAAGTCAGCACATGGCTGACTGTCCTAATAATAAGGTCCTCTGGTGGCGAACCCCCAGTCAGATGCACTGCCCCCCTGGTCAGTCCAGAGCTACAGGGATGACAGGCACCTCTTTCCAAAGCTGTCTTCCAGACAGCGACACACCACCTGTCCCGGGTTATGGAAGTAAGAACAGCCCACACTCCCCCATGACAAGATGGCTTGTCTCCACACAGCTCCCTTTCCACAGCCAGGCTGCACAAGGGCAGGCATTCCAAGCTTGACAGATAAGGGTGTCTGGACTGGAGGGGAATATTGACATATTGTTCAAGGTCGGGCTGAGCAGAGGGATGCAGCCGACAGCCAGCCTCAGTCTCTAGCCTCATCCCACATCCTGTCCTCTTCCTCCGTGGGTGCCAGGGTGAGCAAGGATGTCTGTGGCTGAGGTCAGGCCGACTTTGATGGAATTCGAGCATCCACACTGTCACGTGGGCGTGGCTCTGCTCAGGGAGGGGTCTCCAGAAAGAGAACTCAGCCAAAGGCTCAGCAGGGCTTAGGTCTCACCCCTGGGGTACCCCCTAACTCTCTTGATATGCTCCATGGGGGAAAGGGCCTCACCCCGACCTCAAAAAGTACTAGGGGGTCTCCTGACAGCAGTGGACAAGGGCTCCCTGGGCCACCCTTGAACTAACTGGCTCTGAGTGGACGACGGTTCTTTGTTTTCTCCTTGTCACGTGTTCTGAGCACTGCTTTGGGCCAGGGCGGGAAAGGCTGCTAGCATAAAAAGACCGTCTGTGCCACGAGCTCTGGCAGGACGAGGCCGGGCTTGGAAGGAGGGCTTCACCAGAGTGATGCACAAAAAAAAAAAAGTACTTCTCCGGGCCTGCTGCCCCACGAGGCCTCCATTGGCAGGAGAGGCTCCCCTGACATGGCTTCCAGAGCGGGCAGCTCCCCAAACCTCAGCTGAGAGCAGCTGCGCTCCCGGGGGGCTCCAGCTCCAACTGCAGAGATAACGAGATCACCAGGCACAGAGGTTCCCCGGCAGCCGCGGGCCTCTGGCTGCCTGCCTGCGTGCTCACAGCCTTCCGGTGACAGCTGTGCTTCTGCGACGACTGTCGGAGGGCATTTGTCACAAGGCCTTGTGGGCAGGCAGGAGAGCCCCTCGGCAGCTGGCCGGATGCTGCCGCCATCAGCCTTGCCCCCAGGTTTCTAAGCCATTTCCAGCTTTGCTGTTGCCTTTTTGGAACAGCTGTCCGCCCCACCACCACCACCCCGCCCCCGCCCCCGCCCGCCCCCCCCCCCCCGCCCCCGCCCGCGCGCGCCCCCCCTTCATCAACTGCCCTGCTTCGGTCTGGCAGACAAAGCAAGTTTCTCCGCTGATTAGAAGGGCAGGCTTTCTGGCTGCCTGGAGGCATCTACGCAGCAACACAGCACGCAGGGAGGCGAGTGGCAGCCACCTTCACAGGCTGCAGCCAAGGTCAGCACAGCAAGGGCGCTCTTGTGCCCCCCCCCCCCAGATGGAGGCTCTGCCAGCCTGGGAGAGTGGGTGGTCTTTCTCTCCTAGGGGGAGGAGCAAGCAGGCACCCCCACACCAGAGGCGGCCCTCCATTCCAGAAGGAAAGGGTCATCAGACTTCCCCCTGAGGAAGACTTTTCACCTTTGATCGGACCAGAGAGAGGCCCGCAACCCCAGAGCCAGTCCTTCCTATCATGAATTAAAACCCACGATCCCAGTTCTTCCAACTCCTTTGGAAATTTCCTGGCAAAGCCGGGCAATGTGCAGCCAGGTACAGGCAATACAAACAAGCACATTTATCACCATCTTGAAGCCCGAGTTTCTGACGCTCGTTACCTCTGGGGGCCGGGAGTGGGAATAAGGCCGCCAAGGGCTTTTCCTCTAGGGTCTCAGTTTCCCAATCAGTAAGCATGAGCTTTTATAAAGGAGAGAGAGCTCACATTGCTACCCTGAGTCTGGGGCTTTGGCCAGGTAGGTTATGGTGGGGCGGGGGTCCTGAGCTCCCCACCTAGGGGGCATTTGGACCACAAGACAGGCTCTTGTGGGGCGCTGACCCCAAGAACTGCTTTTATTGGGGGGAAGCTGGAGGTCCACAGGCGTGCTCAGGCCCTTGCCTCTAACCCTCACACCACCTGCATCCTGACGACAAAGGGAGCCTGGGACCGGTGCCCCCTGCCAGGTTCTTGGAGTGGGACAAGTTTAGCACCCCTCCAGCTAAGCAGGTCAGGGGAGCCCTATCTCTCTCACAGCCAGAGAAGCCAAGAGGAGAGAGACATTTCTCGGCAGCCATCCTAATCCTGGATTACAGTGATGAACTCCAACAAGTCTGGAGTTAACCCCTTCATCTCAGGAACACGCATCAAGAAATCAGGAGCCGACTTCAGGATGCAAAGAGCGAAGGGAAAGCATAGAGCATGCAGGAAAAGCATAGAGCATGCAGGAAAAGCATAGAGCATGCAGGAAAAGCATAGAGCATGCAGGAAAAGCATAGAGCATGCAGGGCATTTCCCAAGTCTTTGCCTAGCCACGCTCCATTTGTGTCTAGCCAAGGCCAGAGGTCTTCACTGTTGCTTCTGAGGGAGGAGGAGGGGTGGGTCTGAACTGGTTGTAGAGCGTGGGTTTGGGAGGGCACACCCTTCTTCGGTCTGCAGGACACCCCCAGAGGATGGAACCTAAAGAGGTGCTTTACAGTGTGCTTCCAGGCAGCTGGCCCAGATCCTCATCCTCAGACCCTCTCTTCCTAGCGGTATCACGGGGTGAGCGCATTCGGGAGTGAGTCTGTTTCCTCACCTGCTAACAGGGGCTCCACTGTTAAGATCTGTGAGAAATGTTCCCTTCAAGCACGGTGCTGTTCCGCCATGTTAGCATTTACTGCGGTTGCTGCTGTGATGAGCAGTGCAGTTACTTCCAACCCTCCCCTCTGGGCGTGGGGGACCCTTGAACGCGACCTAAGGTCCCCTGGCCATGAGATTACCCTGCTGCTGGCCAGGAGAAGGCCTGTTTGGAGGTGACCGTCAGCGTGCCATGTGAGAGGGCAAGCTGGCTTTGCTCTCGACTTTCAAAAGCCTCTGATGGGCTTCGTGGGAAAGGTGACTTCCCCTCAGCGGACAGGAGGAGGCTGCTGGGGAGCAGAGGAAGGCCCCCACTCTCCTTTCCACAGAGAAGGAAGAAAGGGGTCCTTAGAAAAGGCAGGTCGGAGCAGTTCTGTCCCGTGTCCCCAAAGAACGATGACAATTCACCAGGGGAGCCGAGGATGACCCTGCCTGGGCTCAGCAGGGGCACACAGGCCGCCGGAGTGGCAGCTGTCTGAGACATTCCCAGAAGGGACTTTGCCTAATGCCACCTTGAAGATGTGACTTTCTGTAAGCTCCTTGCTGCTCAGGATTGAGCCAGGATGAGGGTTTTGTGTGTGGAGTGACTGTGAACGTGGTGACGGGTGTGGCACGGGACAGTGTCCCTGAAGGTTCCCAAGCACTGGCTTTGAGTGGGATCAACCCAGGGGCCAGAACACTGGGCGCTACGGAAGCCGGGTAAGCATTGAAGGCTTTGTGTGTTGCTCTGTTGTTTTTTCTTTTTTCTTTGAGTCTCTTGCAAGTGGGGAGCTTTCTCTGTGTCTGTATATCTATCTACATGGCTGGTACAGGACAAGGGCGAGCAAGCCGCACGGGGCTCAACCACTTTCAGTGACATCTGGCCCAGGGTGCTCCTCAGCAGCTTCTAGGACCGCAAGCATGCTGGAGCTGGCCAGTGTTTTGTTCCCTAGTCTCGCTACCTACAGGGCTCTTCATAACTCCCTGATGCTCTGGGCCCAGAAGATACCAAAAATGGCCAGTCACTCAAGATGGCCTCCAAACCCTCTCCCCAGGCTCCTCGGACTTCTTAGCCCACAGGACTCATACCAACCCGTGTTTCCAGGAGATAAGGTCATCCTCCCGTGCAGGAGGGGGCAGTGGGAGAAGGAAGGAGACTGTTGATTTGCCTCTGCATTCAGATGAGATCTCAATCCCCGGCTCTCCCCGGGCGGGCGGGTGGCTACCCTCTACGGATCACCACACATTCCACCTCAGGTGCTCCCAAGCATTTCGGCAGCCTCACCCATCTGGAATGCTCCTCCTGCTTCCATCCAGACCCTTGCAAGCCCACACAGGCTCCAGCTGTCGGGGAGCCCTCAATCAGCGCTTTCCTGCTTTGCCTCTGCCAGGCATTTCATGAGCACCTGTTCCAGAATGGCACAGTTCCTGCCTCCAGGAAGTCAAGGAGAAAGACCCCAGTGGTGGCATCGGTGGCAGTGAGTGATTATGGCAACGTGGGCCGAGCCCATCTGCACACACCGACACACACAAGCTGGCCCAGACATCTCCCTTCCCACAGCGGGCGGAGAACAGGCCAGGCTGGAGGGAGGTAGAAGGCTCTAGATCCCCAGCCCAAGGGTTGTTTATGCATGGGACGGCCTGTAGAGACGTAGGAAGGATAGCTCAAGGCATGCCCCACAGCAGTCAGAGCATAAGCCTCGGGGCCTGAGTGCAAGTTCTGACTCCAAGCCCTGGGCAAGTCACTCGCCTCCTCTAGAGAGCTCTCTGTCAGCAAAGCGGGAACAATGGCTGAGATCTGTCCAACGGACAAAGTGAGAGGCAGAAACAGCCCTGACCCAGCACCTGGCACATAACCAGAGGATGAAAATCTTTCAACTGGCCACTAGTAAGTTTTAGCCCTATAGGACTGAGCAAAAGCCTGACCCTTATTAGAGGACAACCCCGGGCACGGGAATGGAGGTCTCCTGACTCCTTAAGACTACCTTGCAACAAACTGGCCCAGATACCCCAAACTTAAGCACTGGGCTCTGCAATCGATGCCATTCCATGAGCTTGTCTTATCACCTTGCAGAACAAGAACAATTCGGAGCATGGTATGTTGGGCTAACCTGGCTGTCATGGTTCTTTGATTGTAACATGAATTATTCAGATTCTAAACTTGATTGAATGGGAAGCAGAACCATGTGTTCTTCAAGCCCTGAGAAGGTCTGCAATGCTTGAAGACGACGTGTGCCCCGTGGCATGTATTGATGGGTGGCCACTGAGATGGTCACTGCACTTCAGAGGACTATTCTGCCCAGGGTCCTACCTCCCTTAGCACAGACCCTAAGCCCGGGACCTAAGTGTTCCGTGGCGCTCCTGGGGTAACGTAGGCTCTGTAACTACAGCATCATTAGGTTCTGTCCCACTCAGACGGGGGCCCTGCAGTGTCTTGGGGTATCACAGCAGGGTTGGCACTTTCTCTTCCTTGAACCTGACTGTGTTCCCTGGGCCTTCAGCCAGGTGTCTACCGAGCTGGGACTTGACCTTCATGCCCGTGGCTCTATATGCCAGGCACTCTAAGGGGACATTTTATTAGTCTTTGAACAGGGTCCTAAAACAAGTTTGTCTGTCTTTCTCTGTGTGTGTATCTCTCCCTTCAGACACATACACTGATCCATCATACACACACACACACACACACACACACACACACACACACACACACACATACACACGTGTGTGTGAATCATACGGTACACATGTACATATGTCATACCTGAGATCTGTTTTCCGCCTGTCTGTCTCTTTTTGAGGCGAGGTTTCACTATGTAGCTCAGGTGGAACAAGGCATGGAACTTGTGACCCTATTGCCTCAGCCTCCCACGCGATGGGATGCCAGCTCCGTGCCAGCACACGTGACGCTCATGCTTGAACCCTGCTATAAAGCCTGTGGCTAAAGATGGCCCGTCGGGTTAAACCAAACTAGGAGTCTAGAGAGTTCTAAACATCCTCCCAGGCATGGGTGAAAGCCCTTCCCTCTCTCCGGTTGGGCGGCTGCTTTTTGAGAAGCAGGTTGTTACTTATTATCTCAGTGCAAGCCAGGGGCTGGCCTTCTTTCTGCAAGGCCCTCAGAGCAGAACCCCAGCAGTTACATTTCCTTGTGAGGGAACTTGGGTGGGCTGAGGGGCTGCGTGGGGGAGTGCAGCAGCTACAGGGAAGGGGTTCTGTCCCCACACCAGCAGGTGCCTTTTCCTGGGCTTTCTCAGAGGGCTCCCCAAGGATGCAGCTAGAGAGAGGCCACGGGAGCAGAGGATCACTGAGGACCACAGTGGCAGGGCGGGATAAGGATGTGACGAAAGGCTGACACAGCAGCCAGGAAGGCAGGAGAAGAGACCAGCTATAAATACAGAGGAACTAAAGAGCCAGACATCCCTCTCACCATCCCCCATCCCCCCCCACCCCATCCCCACCCCTGCCCCTACTCTCCAGCTGACTGCAACCCTGATTACCCGACTCTAGCCACCCTCATCTTCCTAGAGCAGAAGCAGACATGGGCCTATGTTTCCCAAAATGTGTATGTTGAAATCTCATCCCCGATGTGACGGGATTAGGAAATGGGAACTGATTACCACCCTTGAACTGCAAGAATGGCATTCCTGCGGTTTGTAAGTTACCTGCTACCTTTTGTTACAGCAGCAGGCCTGGACTAAGGAAGGCAGAGGTCTTACCAGACTCTGGGGAGACAACAGGATACTCAGGGAGCAGCCTGAGCAATAGAACAAAGCTGACTGCTGTGGGCAGACATCATGGGACTCTGCAGAGACTGAGGTCATGTGCAGCTGTGGAAACGGGAGGCACTCCCAGTCCCGGGGCCTATCTCAGCCTCGTGTGTCAACATCCCAGCAAAGGCTAGGGCTGAGGCCAGCCTCTGAGTGGGCACCGGCAGAGGCTCAGACCTCCGTGCGCCCCCCCGCCCCCACCTCTCTTTCTGCTCTCCCAGGCTCAGGACACCTGCTCGCTTCCCCACTGTACTCTGGACAGCAGCTTCCCTAGAACAGTGATGGGCAGCTAGAACACAGTCTGTGGGCCCCAGTGAGAGGCTGACACCCTTGACCCTGAGCCCGGCACATTCCTCTGATTAGGAAGAGACTGGGACGGGTTAACATTTTGGGCTCCTGTAGTTTCCCTAAGGAGTTTCACATCCATGCCCTTTAGCTTACAATAACCCTGCGGATTAATCCGACAGCTGTGACTTCTCAATTTCTCCTCCTTGAAAACAGAAGCCTAGGCGGGAGAAATGGCCTCCGGGACACAGAGCAGGCAACTGGAAGGCTGGCTGCAGACCTCAGCATCCACTGGCTCTGCTCAAATGATGGGCAGGTAGCAGCCTGGTACCTTCCACAGGGTCTCAAGGACGATGGTTGGCAGGGAAGGTCTGCCTTCCTCTCCTCTGGCTCTTGCAGGGTTCCCTACTGTTCTGGTGCAGGGTAAGCGGAGGGATGGTGGTAAGGAAGAGCCCTTACCTGCTCTGACCTGAGTCCTGCAGGGGGGTGCCCGGGTCCCAGTCCACGGCTCCCGCTGGTCGCTCTAGGGCCCAGAGCAGAAGCAGAGGTCAGGACAGGGCCACCAGCTGGGCTCTGAGCTGCTTCTCGGTGAACACAGAGGAGAGATGCTCTACTCCCCGTGTGGGCCGAATGCCCCCCCCAATCACACATTCAAATCTAATCTCCAGTAGGAGGGGTGAAGAAATGGGGACTGGGGACCCATGTTCTGATCTGAGAAACGGAGGCACAAAGACTGAGTGAACCCAGAGTAGGCAAAGAGGACCCCCCTATACATGCCCTCAGGTAATGAAAAAGTTCTAGAATGTCCTTTGGAGTCTGAGCACACACTTCCAGCAGTGTTCCTGTGGTGCTCTGTCCAACCTCGCAGGGTGGTGCTCCTGCCTGCCAGCCCACCAGTGAGCCCAGAGTTCAGTGGGGATGACATGGGATGCTGTCATTAGAGGGGGTGCAGGAGGCCACTCTGCAAAGAGCTACGAGGCACAGGGAAGAGTCACATAGCCTCTGTCCCCAAGCACAAAGGACGGCCTCCCACTGATCTTGGGGGGCCACAGCACCTGTGGCAGTTAAGGCTGCCTGTGAAGTATGAAGGACCTTAGGTCCCAACTGGACAGTGATTATTTGGGTGACATTACTGAGTTCACCCATCTTTCCAGCTCCCTTACCGCTTCCCATTTGCTCCAACCCAGGTCTGCAAAATGAGGCTCACCTGATTCGGCCCTGTCCCAGGACGGAGTCCAGTCCGGGTTTCCCTCCTTGGGAGGACTCTGTCTGGAAACCTTCAGTATCTCCTGCACCAGGCGACGGTTCCTTTCCACCTGGTCAGACAGGGACAGAGCATTTGCCCCCGTGCCCAGCACCCCGAGGCCACCAGCTCTCCAGAGCACCTCTGGCAGGTCTGCTCTGGGGACCAAGTCCTCCTTGGAAGCTGGGGCTGTGTTGTCCAGATCTCCCTCTGTGACCACACTGTCTCCAAGTGGGTATGGTCTTCTCTTCTTCAGGCTGCTCAAGTGGGTGGTTTTACAGGGGCCAGGCCCCTGTAGCTGGCCCACAGAAACATGGCTGTTGGGGCTCTCTTGTAAAGAGCCAGATCCTGGTGCTGGGCCTTCCTCAGAATCAGCCAGCTTCCACACTGCTTCTGGAGACCACAGGCTTTGCCCATTCCAGCTCTCCAGGCCAGGAGTAGATGGCCTGGAGCCACCATTCCTGGCAGGTTTCTTCTCATTAACACTGCTGTCCAGCTGCCCATCGATCTGGTTCTGAGCACGGGGAACCACCAGGGCATCTGGTGGAGGAGAGGCCTCGGGTAGGCTCCAGATTTCTTCGGGCTTGACTTGGTGGCACTTGGATTTTGTGGGGGATGGATGCTCATAGGAAGTGGAACAGGGATTTGCCCTCTGTTTCCTGGAAGTCATTTTCTCCTTCAAGGCCTTCACCTTGGACTCTAGCACAGAAGGGCCTTGGAACTGTAACTTCCATGGACTTGGAGGCTTGGGAACTATCAGGCTAGGCATTCGGTCTTCCTGGGGGCAGAGCGTGGGTCTTGGGAGAGGTCCGCTGTCCGGCTGCTCAGGACCATTTCTGGTCACAGCTGGAGTCACGTGCATGGGGCTGGTTGTTCTGCTCCCTGACCTGGATGCCCTGCAGGAAAAAGGAGAAGCTGAAACCTTGGACCTGGATGGCCCCAGTAACCTGCTTGGTCTCAGAGTGCTCTGATATGGATCCCTGCTCAGATATCTCAAGACAGAGCAGAGGGGTGTCCTCTACATAACGTAGACACACACTGGAAAGGACAAGTCCAAGGACAGTCCAAACAAGTTACTACCAAGCTTAGTTCCTCCTGGCATGAGTAACATTCTTTCATGGGTGAGGAGGGAACAGGGGTGTTTACTGGAACATGGGCAACTTACCAGTGTTTATACCATTGAAGAAAATGACACCACTCCCCCAGTAACCACAAACTGCCAATAGTCCCTCAGAGGTTCTAGGGTCTCATGTGTGCTGTGTTCCTAGCATTTCTAACGCCATTTTACAGGTGAGCAAAACAAGGTTTCAAACAATTAATCCTATGCCAAATGTGGACCACAGTGCAATGGAGTGTGATTTCCCAACCCTGGGGCTAAAGGATGATCTCAGAGAACGTCAGTGTTGGCTAGTGGCCAATACGCTCTTCCTTGTGAATGAAGGACCTGTGCCTCCAGAAGATGGTGCCTGCCAGCCTCATGCCAACCACAGTGGAAAAAGCCATAGACTAGAGTCAAGGTGTACTCAAAAGGAGATAGTCACAAACCATGCTCTATGCAAGGCAGAGACTTCAGAAATTTCAGCATTCTCTAAAATAATTCTGACATGTCTGTGCTACAGTGTTATTAGTATCCTCTTTTTTAACAGGTGGGGAAACTGAGTCATGGAGAAATCACACCCCATGGATTCCATGGGCGAGTCCAGCTTGTAACCAAAAGCTTTGCATCCCACACCAAGCCCAGGGCTCTTTCAGAACAGTGATCGTTTACCGCACCCCCTTATTGTCAGGTAAGACTGCGTCCACAGAGGTCAGAAGACTCACAAGTGTTACACAGCCCCTTGGTGGCTGGGCTAATTCCAATGGCTTTACAGAGAAGGAAAGGAAGAGCTCTTTACTCACTGTAGAAGCGACTGTGTCTTAATGGTTACTCTGTTAGGCCACGCTGAGAAATCATCCTACATCTAGAAGTGTCCCATTTGAAGTAAACTCAGTGTGTAAGAATTCATCCCTAAATGGCAGATTAGGAGTTAATTACTCCCTTCACACAATAAGGATCCACCATAAGATGTTCTTAAAGGGTTAAGGTCACTTATTACAATTCAATTTATATGCTTTTCAGGAATATATGTATTTTATAAAGCAAGATACATCTGTAACACCAAGTTTCACAGCAATAAATCTGTGAAGTTTATGGATTATCTTTAGGACGGAAGTCATTTTCTCTACCGGAGCATCTAGAGCAGCGGTTCTCAACCTGTGGGTCATGACCCTTTGGGGAATCGGAAAGACCCTTTCACGAGGGTCGCCTATGACCATGGGAAAACACAGATATTTACATTACGATTCACAACAGTAGCAAAATTACAGTTGTGAAGTAGCAACGAAAATAATTTTATGGTTGGGGGTCCCCACAACATGAGGAACACTATGAAAGGGTCGCAGCATTAGGAAGGCGGAGAACCAGTGATCTAGAATACTCCAGGCTTCTCTTTGCAGCCCAGCTACCTCTTCTCTGAGGTCCAATCCAGAAGCCAAGATTGGGATTGTAACGTGAGCCCTTTCAGTAAAATCCAGAGAACTTCAGGACCTCGTAAACTCTGGAGCTGCGCCCTGACATCCGTGTCTGCAGACCTTAAAGAATGAGACCGTCCCCCCCGAAGGCCTCTGGACGGTCTCCCTGGAAGACAGCTACCGAGCCCTCCACTCCTAGCACCGATCCTCTGACTCAGGAAAACTGGATCGAAAATGGACGTGAAGAACCGGGCCTCCTCAACTCTTCCCGCGGTGGGAGGTCGAGTCTCGGCGGCCCAGGACCCCTCTGCGCCCCGCCACCCCGCCCGGCTCCTCGGGGTACTCACTGAGAGCGGCGCGCAGGCTTCGCTGCCGCCTCCATCCCCTCCATCCCGGGGAGAGGCGAGGCTCTGCCCCCCCTCTCCCCGTCCCAGGCCGCTGCAGAGTCCCGGGCAGGACTCGCCCTAAAGCCGGGCGGGCGGCTGGGAGTGTGGCCCGCAGGCCTCGCCCCTGGGATGGCGTCCGCCCCGGGGCCCGCGAGGCGAGGCCGGGCTATGGGAGTGCGCCGCACCCCAGGCCCCGCAGGGCGCGAGGAGCCGCCTCGACCGCTAGTTCATGGCTCTGCTGGAAGGTGGAAGGCCCGGGGCCCGCCCGGGAAGAGAGGGCGAGGAAGGCGAGAGGAGGGGCAGCGGAAGGGGCTGGAGGATCGCGACCTCGGCCGGTCCCCACCCCCTGCCTCCCGCGTCCTCCTGGGATCGGGGCCGCTCCACGGGGCGCACGCTGGGAGCCCCGAGCAGCCGCGGCTCCGCTCCCCTCCCGGTGCGAGGGCCTCCCAGACGGCGGGGGATGCGCCCTGAGTTTGGGGCGCACCGGCTGCCACGGGGCCGTGTCCCGGACGCCGAGCAAATCCCTCCCCGGGGACGCGGGCGCGAAGGCGGAGGGGAGCCGAGGTGACTGTGGGGCGCAGCCGGAGCGCCATGCTTCAGCTGACTACACCCGGCTCCGTTGTTGGAGGAGGAGGCTAAGGAATGTTTCGGGACGAGTCGGTGGACTTCCCTGCAGGGCCGACCCCATCGCCCTTGGGCACCCTCCTAGGTCAAGGTCGTCGGTCCCCGATCAGTAGAGACGCCAGGGCAAGCTGGAGTGGACCGCTCACCCCGTCCCCAAAAGTGGGGTCTGCATGGCCAGCCGCATCGGGAAGGGACCGGTTCTCGGGGCGCTGAGGATTCCCTAACAGACCTGGGTTCAGGCCTCAGCTGAAGGAGCGACAGAGGGCTGGCCACTGTGCCCCAGATCGATGGAGCTTTCTCTATGGAACAAGAGGGAGGTGACCAAGTTTCTCCAATGTCCAAACCCATTTTTTTGGAAGGAAAAAAAAAAAAAAAAAAGGAATAGTAAGAGGAACCAGGATATTTCAAAAACCTCTGCAAAGAGAAAGTGCTCATTCTCCTTCCTTTTGCCAACGAGTTTTGCCTCATACGCAGTCTTTTGTGTGGGTCAGCTGCTGGATGGCAGAAAGGGGTGCGCTAAGCTAAGGGTCTGAGCAGGACACATAAGGGAGACAACAGTTCTGGCCCCTTGTGCTGGTGTGGGCCTCTAATCCCAGTTGATCCGGACATTGAAGCAGGGGGATCCTGCTAATTCAAGGCCAACCTAGTCGATTTAGTGAGACCCTTTCACGAAATGAAAAGTGAAGAAATGGGCTGAGGATATAGTGTGTGTGTGTGTGTGTGTGTGTGTGTGTGTGTGTGTGTGTGTGTGTGTAGAATTTGCCTAATGTGCAAGAGGCCCTGGGTTTAATCCGAGTACTCCAGAAGCAATAAGGATGTCTACCTCCCCTGAAGTGAGCTGAATGTGGGAGGGAGACCCTGGGCAGGTAATCCAGCCCAGATCTGAGCAGACTGTCAGAAACTGACGGTGGGACCAATTTAGGAACCAGAGATGTTATCCAGGGCAAAACCCCGTGTAAGTGAGCGAGTCCAAGTCATGGAGCTCTGGTGAGCAGAGTCGGACGCACCTTCCTGCTGTGTTCCCAGAAGAAGTAGTTCCTTAAATGAGGCACTTTCTGCTCTGGTTTAGTGCTGATTACGTCACAATATAGTGACAATTCATCATGGAGAGTCTGTCGTTGTTCTAAGCACTGTGCTGTCCTCATACCGCAACCTCAGGAGTCCAGCCCTACTGTCCCTTGTAGAAATGTGGTGAACAGTCAGGACCAAGCTAGTAAGTGCAGGTCTCCAAGGACTCAAAAAGACCTCGATCCACGCACTGTTCAGTGTGGTCGTTAGCATCTGCAGCATAACATGAAATATTTAGTCTTTCAAAACTCAAATTGAAACCAAGCGGTGGTGGCACACACATCCCTCGGGAGGCAGATGCAGGTGGATCTCTGTGAGTTCAAGGCCAGCCTGGTCTAAAGAGCGAGATCCAGGACAGCCAAGGCTACACAGAGAAACCTTGTCCAAAACAACAACAATAACAAAACCCCTCAAACCCAGGGGTTAGAAAGATGCCTCAGCTGTTAAGAGCACTTACTGTTGCTCTTGTAGAGGACTGGAGTTGGGGTGTGTGTGTGTGTGTGTGTGTGTGTGTGTGTGTGTGTGTTGGGGGCAGTTAGCTGAGCTTGTTACTCCAGCTTTAGGGAATCCAGTACCCTCTTCTGACTTCCAACGGCACCTCCACATACATGGCATATATATATACACACACAAATAAAAGTTGAAATTAAAAAAAAAAATCGGG